GGAAACAAGCAGTGAAAAAAGAGGACATTTCAGCGGTTCAGAATAATACTCTGTTCACACACTCTAACAAACTTTATAAGAGGGGATAAAGTCTAATCTTCTCACATAAGTTTAAATCAACTTTTGCACTTCAATTTTATAGAAACTCTCACATCCAACTTTTGCAAAATTTTACTCTTTTTTTCTTCTATAAGCACTTGTCGAAAAGTTCATCCAAACTACGCATAAATCATAGTTATTCAAAGCAATAAATTCCAAAAGCCATAGTAACATATAAGACCACATTTTTTAACCTCTTCCTCTAGCTGAAACAATATTAATGTCAAAAATATGTTTCTCAATTTAAACCCTAAACCTTGAAAATATGCTTCTCGCTTTAAACAGAGCAAGACCTTTTACGAGGCATAATAAAACTACAGTAGTAAGAAATTAATCTTCAACTAGTGTAATCCATACTCTATCCTAATAGGATGCCAATTCTACAATTATTATTGTAAAATTACTGAAAATAACAATCATATACTTTAAAATAATTCCTGAAAAAAAATAAAGTCTGAAAAACAGCATATAATTTTAATTTACCCCCCTTTATCCTGTATCATGTTCATTTCATCACATTATAATTTATGTAACGAGTAATCCACAAAACAAATCTATCTTGCTTGTATCATATTAATCATTTATCACAAGCTAGACAGATTGCAAAAATAATTGTGATATACCTTATGGTTAGCAACATTGTTTGGCACATCTATATTCAAAAAGCATCTTCTAGGGAAGCTTGGATTCTTTATCTCAACCAATACAGCACTTATGATAGGTATGCATACTTGCGCAGCAAGGGTGAAGTCTTGTAGGTTACTCTTTCCTTTAATCCTAGATATAAAGTAACCTCCAAAGGGTCAACCAGGTCAATGAAAATCTTTTGCCATAGTAGGATATAGATGAAAGAATGTTGGAATAGATTACAATGCCAATGAGCCACATTACTAGAGGCATTCATTCAGTTGCCAGTCATAACTCAACATTATATAAGCTAGCAAAATTCAAAATTCATTTTACAACAGACATTCAAGATAAATCCAGCAATAAATCAAAGCATATTGCAAATATACCATACCAGTCATATGAAACGGAGATAGAAGGTACATCATTGAAGAATGCCTCTCGAGCTCCAGCTACAGTGCCTGAGTAAACACTGCAAAGGGCCCTACTCAGTACATCTATGAGCAAAAGTTTCGTCATAAAGTAATAACTACTGAAGCAATTATAGTGGAAAGAAATATTATGCAGATCATAATGGAGCGCATCTAAGATTTCAAAGAACTGGGATCATCATGATCTTTTCAATGGTTAGAATGATAAAGGCAATTGCTTGCCATTTAGAGTCAATGGAAAAGTTTTCAAAGGGTATACTTCTATTAATCGACCTTCTTTTACATCAGTTGCTATCAGGTCCAGGATTCTTTACTGCCGCAGATAGATTTTAAGCAACATAGAAATTACTTGATTGGAGAAATTACTATATTGCCAATGGAAACAAAAAAAAAATGTTGTATGGTTAGATCATAATATATAGATTTTGACATGACTAACGGCTTGAAATTAATATATTTCACTCCTTCACACATAAAGATTTCAACTAAGAACGAAATGATTAATGAAGATAATTGTCAAACGGACAACGCCAATTTTGACATGATTCACAACTTGCTTACTCTCAGAAAAAGAAGAAGGCCTTAGATCCTGCCTCCCCCTTTACCATTTCTTCGCAAATATGCATTCATTTTAAATTCGTAAAGGACCATTTGCAGTTCAGAAGTTGAAAAGCTAGTGAGAATGAGATGACTATTTGTGTGAGTGAGGACATGCGGAAGGAAAAGACGCTACATACATGTGATAACCGCAGTTGCTACCCTTGTTTATGCCACTGACCACCTGTGCAAATAGATATAACACTCATCAGCAATTGGCTGGATTTTTTTTTTATTTTAATATAGTCAAATAGATCCTGTATGCAGAGGACTTTCTCTAAATAAATAAATAAATACAAGCTCGCTACCCTAGAATTAAAGAAAAACGATAGCACTGGCAGAATAGCAGATTAGGTTTTAAAAAAAAAACTGGAAATCCGATAACCTATAAAAAAATAACAAGACATCAAAAATCTTCTTACAGTAAACACTCACTAGTCACTAAGTTAGGTCAGGTAACGGAATCAAACAGTTCAACTCAACATCATCACGTTTGAATCGATTCAACACTTACTGCGTTGAATTGTTTGAAAAAACTAAAATGGAAGACGCAGAGCAAAGTTATCGTACCAGATCAGGTACTGTAGGAAAGAGAGCTTTGGAAACCCCTAGAGAAGCACAATCAGCGGGAGTCCCTGCGAAGAAAATGTAAGCAATTATTTGAAACGCGAAATAATGATGCTGCATGTAGAGCGTGAAGAGAAACAAACCAGAAACGGCAAACGCGGTGGTTCCGTTGATGTTTACTTGCTTAACAGCTATTGGATGGAGCCAAGTGATGCAGTGACTAACAGCTGATTTCTCACTGCAAAAGGAACCATTAAATCCACTGAAGAAACAAGTATTAAATTGAATCTGGTGAAGAAAGGTGGAAGGGATACCTATCAGGAGCGCACACTAGAACGTTGAAGAGGTTGGTGTTGACGAGCGAATGAACCAATGCTCTTAAGCCAGGAGCATCGATACCATCGTCGTTGGTGATCAGAATCGTGCTTCGTTTCCCTCCTTCCATCTCCACAATTATTCTCAACACCTGCGCCGTAGATTGTTGGATTTTAATACTATTATTACTCACTCATCTCCCTTTGTCCTACCTTCTTGTTATTTCTTTTCCGCGAAATTTACCACCATTATTTAATTCTGCCTTTAATCAACACTAGTTGTTGCGCTTATTATTAAATAATAAGAAAAGCTGACATGATATTAAAAATTGTTTAAGTCACTTTTAAATAATTTTTTTTCATGGAGTATTCACCGCCGATTAATTTTCTTGCTACGAAAGAAGTACTTCAAAGAGTGGGATAGCTGCTCCAAGATTTAACACAACTATAAACACAAGGCAGGATTCGAACACCTTACATTGCTTAAGCGTGGATCACCCCTACCGCTAAATCATATGTTTAGAGTTACTTTTAAATAATTAATATTGTTTATGCATTAAAAATAATATATTTTTTTAAAATCTGATTCTTTCAATAAATAAATAAATAAATACAAACTATTTTCACAAGTTGCTTAATAATTAATTCTTTTTAATAATATTAATGTTACTAAGTAGCGGGAGAAGAGGATAGAAAAAAATGGTTTGAATTAGCAAGATGATTTTATAAAATAAAATTAGTATTTTAACATGTATTATACAAATTAAATATTTATTATAAATAATTAAATTTAAAAAATTATATATATTGTTATGTTTGAATATATAAGTTATATTTAAAATTTGAACAAGTAATATAAGTTATATTTTACATTTAAAATAAATAATTTATATTATTATATAATATTATTTTTATTTATTGATAGTTTATTTTAAATTAAATTTTAATTTATAAATAATTATGATAAATAAAAAATAAATTATATACAAAATTAAAATAATTTTTATAAATTCCTTGGTGGAAAAAAACTGTTAAAAATATGTTTATACAATATAATATAATTGTTTGTATTTTATATATAAAAATTAATTCATCTCAAAAGATAAAAAAATTAAAAAGATATTTTAATTTTTTTTTGAAAGATAAAATATAGAAAAGAGACACATTTATTAAATAAGAAGGTACATATCATTTGTGATAAATTTTTCGTTATTATAAGTTAAACTAATCTCTAATTTAATAAGATGAAGATAACTGTGACATGATTAAAATAAATAAATTTTTGTTATTATAAATCAATTTTATTTAAGTCTTTTTATATAATTTTTTTTCATTTTTATTCTTCCTGTCATGTTAGTCATTAAATCTAATAGAAAAATAAAAAATAAAATATAAGAAACAAAATTGAAAAATAAATAATCATAGAAACCAAATTTTGAAAAGATTAAAACAACTAAAATTTTAGATAACTAATATTATGAAGATTAAAATGTAAAAATAATTAAAATTAAGATGATTAAAATAAAAGAATCTTATTTTATAGAAATTAAACATCTATTTAAGCTAAATTCACAAAATATAAACCTTTTAAATACAACAATATCAAGTATAAATAAATAAATAAACTCTGTCAAAAAAATATATCTAATGTATTAATGACACATTCAATCTTAAAAAAAAATATATATATATATAATAAATACGCATTAAAATATTAGTAAATATTATAAATATATAAAAATATAGAATATAATATAAACATAAGTTATATATGTTCTAGTATATGTACTTTTGTTAGTTTTTCTTTTTTTTTTTTTAGTTTTTAACAAATTATTTTTCCTAATTTTAGTCTTAAAACTTTCATCAATTTTTACTTTTACTTTTAAAAAAAACTTATTCTCTTATTAACGATTTTCAGTGTAAAATTTCAGATAATAAAATTAAGTAAAAATTATTTAAAACTAAAAAAAATTGACAAGAATTAAAGACTGCAATATATATATTTATATATTATAAAGGTTATAATTTAATTTAGAGTATATATTTTTTAAAATAATTTTATCTTTAAATTTTAAATCATAAAAAATAATATTAAAAATTAATTATTCTTATAAACACAAAATTTAAAATTTGATAATGAAATGTAATATTAATTAATCTAATAAATATTAAATAAAATATAAAGATATAAAATATGTAAATTTTATTGATATATAATTTAAATAAAAATACCTAAAAAAAAAAAAACTTGCATATTCCGGTGTTTATATCACCATTCACGAAAGTGAACTTTTAAACACGTGAAACAAACACTAAAACTCAAAATTTGAATAGATGAAGTACGAAATACATACAACGTATTAGGAAAAAAAACTATATAAACAGTCGCAGAAACCATTTTGATTTTGCCATGTCAATGATGCGTGACGTGGCAGCATCAGAAGCGTGGAATTCAACCGGAGAGAATTTTTGGAGGGAAAATAAAATAACCAAAACATAAAGGGGAAAAAGGTGACACTATTTTTCGTTTTTTTTTTTCTTTTTCTTAATAATATTATTAAATGGATTATTATGGATTATCGATATTGGCTTAGGCGCTGCATCTGCAAATCGCAACCCAAAAGTCTCTCTCTCTTTCTCTTTTTCTTTCTCTTTCTCCCTCTTTATTCATTTCGTTAAATTTCTCTCCGACTCACATCGGCCATCGCTCTCGGATCACTTTGGAATTTCCGGCGGGGACTTGCGTCGTACTCGCATGACAGAATTATTGCGAGTGTCGGAATCCATGAATTTTCCGGCGAGGTAAGATTCCGTTGAAATTTTGCTTTGGTCCGAGGGGGAGGGGGAAACTTTGTGTAATTACGGTCTATGTCGCTTCAGATCTGGGATTTAGGGTTTGGCTTTGGTTGCGGGTTATGGTAATTTTGGGGGAGGGGCTTTGGTAGATGGAATCGGGCGTGAGATCGAGTGGTTCTGGGGTTTTGGTGAAGAGCAGAAACTCCTCGGGTTGTTTAATTGTGCGAAAGAAAGGGGATGGGTTGGGTGCTACTGCTTCCACCTCTAGGAGGCTTTATGAATCGAAGAAAAGGGCCAACACTAACGTGTCCATGAGTGACTCTGGGTCAAGCGACGAGTTGTTGATGCCTCCTGGGAGAAGGCTTGGCCCCGAGACTATTCGAGTTTGCAATGGATTGGCTGCCTCTGAGCGTGGTGGTAGTGAAATTAGTCGCAAGAGGGATAAAGTGGAACAAATTAGGGGTAGTGGGGATGGTATTGCTGCGGAGAGAGGTTTGGAGCATAGGGAAAGGAAGCGTGCTAAGTTGGATGTGTACGATTTCGATGAATACGATGGTATGAATGTGGAAAACATGAAGAGGAGGCATTTGGATGGTAATGGAGTTGGTTACGGAGGAGGAAGGTTTGTAGGATCAGTGCATGCTTCTAGAATTGGCGTTGATATGGAATTCAAAGCAGGGTCAAGTGGACGTGTTCTTGATAAGAGAAAGAACTCCCCTTATGACAGGCCAGGTGGCTCGTACCCTGGGGATAATGTTGATCACAGTCGGTTCAAGATGAACAGGGATGGGGCTCGGTTACCTCTACCCTCACCGAAGGAGAAGTTTAATTCAGATGAGACCATTAGGGTTCAGGGAAAAAATGGTGTTTTGAAGGTAATGGTAAATAAGAAGAAGGTGAGTGGGCCATCAGAACACTATGATCATCGCAAACCTGTGGAAAGCAGGCAAAGGTTGAAGAGTGAAGAGACTGCCAAGAGGTTGAAGAGCGAAGAGAATGCCAAGAGGTTGAAGAGTGAAGAGAATGCCAAGAAGTTGAAGAGTGAAGAGAATGCCAAGAGGTTGAAGAGTGAAGAGACTGCCAAGAGGTTGAAGAGTGAAGAGACTGCCAAGAAGTTGAAGAGCGAAGAGACTGCCAAGAGGAATGTTCCAATTCGTCCTTCATTGTACTTGGAAACCAAACTTGTTGAGAAACCAGGATTACTTAAGAGGCCCGAGAAGAAGCCAATAGCATCAAGAAAATCTTTGTCAGGCAAGGACAGTAAGGGTGATGAAGGGGATTCAGATAACAGTGACACATCATTGAATCCTGGAATAAGAAATACTGAAGCTCATAAGCCTGTGAAAAAAATAATCTCTGAGGATGAGCAGACTCCAGGGCAAGAAAAACTCCCAACCACAAGAACAAAAGAAGGAAAAATCAAGCGTGGTAGTGGTACTGAAAAACAGAAACTGCGGGAAAAAATCAGGGAGATGCTGCTGAGTTCAGGTTGGACCATAGACTATCGACCTCGAAGGAACAGAGACTATCTGGATGCAGTTTACATTAATCCAGCAGGTACAGCCTATTGGTCTATCATCAAGGCCTATGATGCACTTCAAAAGCAATTGAACGATGATGCTAATGAGGCCATGTTCAAAGGGGACAGTTCTTCTTTTGCTCCTATTGCAGATGAGGTGCTCAGTCAGCTAACAAGGAAAACTAGGAAGAAAATGGAGAAAGAATTGAAAAAGAAAAAGAAAAGATATGATAGTGAAAATGATAATGAAAAAGAGCCTCAAATAAGAAGATCTGCCAGCAACAAACGTGATATGAATAGCACAGATAGTGATAGCGACAGGGAGAAATTAAGCTCCTTTATAAAGCAGGGAAGTAAGTCAATAAAAAATAAAATGTTTGAGAATACCATTATCAGTGCTCGCTCTAAAATTCAGAATGCTAACCATCACTCAAGTAATGGAATAGAAAATTCATTATTTGGAAGTGATCCTCATATACATGGACGGAAGAGTAAAAAACATGGAAGATGTACCTTGTTAGTTCGCAGTTCTAACAAAGGATTAAATTCAGAAGCTGATGGTTTTGTACCATATATGGGAAAACGGACAGTTCTTTCCTGGTTGATTGACTCTGGAACAGTAGAGTTAAGCCAAAAGGTTCAGTACCGCAGACGAAAGAAAGTCCTGCTGGAGGGGTGGATCACAAGAGATGGTATTCATTGTGGCTGCTGTAGTAAGATCCTCACAGTTTCAAAGTTTGAGCTTCATGCAGGAAGCAAATTGCCACTGCCTTATCAAAATATATATTTGGAATCTGGAGTTTCTCTTCTACAGTGCCAGATAGATGCATGGAATAGACAAGAGCATTCTGAAAAAATTGGTTTCCATTCAGTTGATACTGATGGCAACGATCCAAATGATGATACTTGTGGTATATGTGGAGATGGAGGGGATTTAATCTGTTGTGATGGTTGTCCATCAACATTTCATCAGAGCTGCTTGGATATACAGGTATGTGTGCATATTTTATTCTCCATATGGCTTGTTATTATTCTCAGTTCTCAACATATTGTTAGTACATATTTTGTTCTGTATATTGCTTTGAATTGTCTCTTATTGACCATTAGAATCTTAAATTTATGTTTCTCTTTTGCATGCTGTTTGGTTTACCTGATTTTTTGTTAAGGGTGGTGGAAGAGGGCAGTAATATCTCTTTGTTGGGAGTTTGTTGTTATGAAGTCAAGGGACAGAATACACTTTCTTGTTATTATGATTTTGCCAAATGTTGGGGGATGTTGAAAATGGTATCCCTAGACAAAACTTGTGTCTACTGAAAACTGATATTGTAGAGTTTGTTCATTGTCAAAAAAAGCAGTCAAAGGATGAATTACCTTTACTATAATAGTTTCAGGGCCAGCCCAAACATAAAGCCAGGCAAGTCCTTGCTTTAGGCACCCAAAAAAATTTATATAGTATTTTGTACAACTTTTACTAAGAGTTTATTTAGTCTAATAATAAATAATATGTTTTTTTCTTGATAAATAGAGGTTGAACATTGGTAGAGAAAAACTATTTTATTTTTTTATGAGGACTCATTTTTCCTATTACTTTGATTAATTTTATAAAGGCCTCAAATTTTGCTTTATGCCCTAGAATATGTTGGGCCAACCCTGAGTAGTTTTTATGGCTAAAAGTTGTGCATACTGTCAATTATTTAACTTATGACTCTATCTTCTTTGATATCTAGAAGGCATGTTGATTGGGTCTTCTCATAGGAGTAGAGTCCATGGTTCCTGTACACAAAACTAGAATAATCTATTATTGACTTTGATGGAAGTGTTAGTGACTTGTTGCAATTTACTGTACCTTATTTTAGCAACGTAAATTATTTTAGGAGGATGGTTTTCTTTATGAAGAATTCATTTATGTTGTTGCAGATGCTTCCTCCCGGTGAATGGCATTGTCCAAATTGCACATGTAAATTTTGTGGCATAGCCCGTGGTACTTCTGAAAAAGATGATGCATCTGTGTATGTCCTACGTACTTGCAACTTATGCGAGAAGAAATGTATTCACTTAATCTTGTTTATCCATACTTTCCCTTTTTATTTTTATTTTTTACTTTGTTTAATAAATAATTTCTGTTTGCATAGATCATGACTCTTGCACTAAGGAGATGGATACCCTTCCTAATAACTTCAATACATCAAGCCTTTCTTTTTGTGGGAAAGAATGCAAAGAGGTACCTCTTACAGTTTCTTCTGCTTTTTTCAATTTTATGAAGCATAACTTAAATGTATATGTTATGAAGTATAACTTTGCAAATGTATATATATTTATTTAACCATTTTCTATCTTAAATTCAGCATGCTTGAGTGCCACTTATACTTTTGTACTTGTTTTTAGAGTTTGTGTTTCTTTCAAGACTCTTTGAATTCTCTTTTTTTAGGAATTTCTGTATTTTGATATTTTGTTAAAATGAAATTTTTCCAAAGAAGAAAAATAGAAGCAAACTTTTGTAGTGCTCTTTGGTAAGACCAGATTCTGAACTATTATTATTGTTGTTATTTATTTCTGAATTATTTTCTTTATAAATTTACAGCTTTCTGAACACTTGAAGAAATACCTTGGTACCAAGCATGAACTAGAAGGGGGATTTTCATGGTCTCTTGTTCATAGAACAGATGAAGACTCAGAGGCAGCTTGCAGGGGAATTACACAGAGGGTAGAATGCAATTCCAAGCTGGCTATTGCACTGACCGTGATGGATGAATGCTTTTTGCCTGTTATTGATCGGAGGAGTGGGATAAATTTAATCCGTAATGTTTTATATAATAGTGGGTAAGCACAAGTCCAATCTTTATGAATTAAATATAATACCCTATAAGTTGATTCATGAGACCTCTCATCTAGATGAATGCCAATGTCTGATTATAGTTTTCAGCGATTGTAAAATTGTAAATTGATAACTGTCTTCCTTTTTGTTGTTTTGCCTTTTAATGCTATCTGACTTGGTACATATGTTGTCTGTTCGATAATTTAAGTTGGTAGAAAAGGAAATGATTAATTTAGGCTTATTTGCACTTGCTCACTTGCACTTTTGGCCCCTCTAATTTGTACTATGTGCGATGTTGGTCCCCCATGTTTTTTTTATGCTAATCAAGTCTTTTTTATTTATAAAATTAGTAAATTTGACCCCCTTGTTGATTTCCTTCTACACAACCATTTTTTAATTCCTAATGTTCTGGGTTATGATAGAGTTGAAATAGGAAATAATCAAGTTTAGAAGTAAAATATTTAGTGGAAATTAGAGAAAAATTGAAAGATTTTAAATGACATGAAATTAGGGTTTTGAAGAGGTGAAATTTTTATTTACTTTATTTTTGGGTGAAATTTGATGTTTTCGCTGGTGAATTTTTAGCAGAAGACCAAAACTGGAAAAAGCAGAAAAAAGATTCCAAGCGACCATAGTCATTCGGGGTATCACCCCACTTTCTGAGCAATTTATAAAGATCGAGTAAAAAAGTGAGAATTTTTTCGTGTCAGGTATAAGAAAATTGACATGCGAGGAGGGACTAAATTTGCTAAATTTTAAAATAGAGATAATTCGCTTAAAAAATTGTGGGGGACTAAAATCACGCAAGGTCCAAACTAAAAGGACCATAAAATACAATTAAGCATTTAGTTTATAAGTATCATTTTGGTTACTGGTTTGTTTGAGTTACTTCAAAATTTGAAAGTACATATAGAAGGGTCCATCATTTACTGTGGCATTGTGCTCAAAGTACATTACATTCACAAACCAAATTATCCTCTTTCTGCATTTTGATGTTTTCTTGGAATGGAAATTTTCTAGCCTTTACAGTTTTTCTCTTTTATTTTTGGCTTTCTATTCATTTTCAGATCAAACTTTAGTCGTTTGAGTTATAGTGGCTTTTACACTGCGATTTTGGAGAGAGGAGATGAAATCATAGCTGCAGCATCTATCAGGTAGGCCTCTGACTTTGCCTTGCTGACTTATTTACTGGATCTCTTAGACTCTGACCTTCTCTTTTAAAGGGGAAAAATGCAGAAACAGTAGAAGTTGGGAAAGTGAAAGGTGTTTTGGTTGCATTTGGATTTGAAGGTTCACCCACTTACCAGTATTACTTAGAGAAGTTAGGGGAACTAAGGAAATAACTGAAACTTAACAAGAAAAACAAACAAATTGTAGTTATTGAGAATTTTTTTTTAAATCATTTGAAGGGAATGTAATTCTTAATTATGTTAAATATATATCAGTCATGCTTCAATTGCTTTAGAGAGAGCTGCTTATGACTAGTATGTTGAATTTGTTAACATCTGTCACACACTATTCTGACTACTTTAAAGAGAGTTTCTCCTTTCCATACACTACTATGTTAAAATGAGTTAGAAATTACCAAGTTGGCAATAGCGCAGTGAAAGGCTTCGTAAGTTTGGCATTGCTCTAATCCCATATTACTTGTAATGAGGAACATTAGTGACATTGGATAGCCTTTTGCTCTGGTTCCTAACTTTCTTGAAATTAACATTCCGTTTTACTGATTTAGCTTAAATGGATTGTAAAAGGCCATGATTATTTTCTTGCTCTCATTGTCTCTCTCTCTCTCTCTCAATTTATATGCTGCTTTGTACATTTCTTGATAATGTGAATAAATGGGAGTATTTATCTAAGTATTTCCTTTCCTGTCTTAGGTTCCATGGAACTATGATAGCAGAGATGCCATTCATTGGAACTCGTCACATATATAGGCGCCAGGGGATGTGCCGCCGGCTTTTTTCTGCCATTGAATCGGTAAACCTTGAAGCTATGGTTCTTTGTGATTCCATTGCACCTAAGATCTACTTAGAATTTTGGTTGGGGCCTTTTTGCATGCATCTTTTAATGACATTGACATGTTCTTATCTTATTTCTTCCTCCTCGATCAAAAGGCACTTTGCTCTCTGAAGGTTGAAAAGCTAGTTATTCCTGCAATTGCTGAACTCACACATACATGGACAACAGCTTTTGGCTTCACGTATCTAGATGGTTCACTCAGGCAAGAAATGAAGTCACTGAATATGATGGCCTTCCCTGGTATAGATATGTTACAAAAGTTGCTAGTGGAACAAGGAAAACATGAGGGCAATACAACCACAGGTGTTGATGCTGTTTTTGTTTATTTAAATTTCAGGAAGTTACTTTTGCTTGTATGTAAATTGTACCTTTTCTCTTTTCGTGACAGGTTCTGAGAAAATGGAAAATGGAGACAATTATTTTATTGAGACCAAAATGGGAAATAGGTCAGATATGGGTTCAACTCCGCAAGATCCTCATGGAAGTGATGATGTTAGTTCAAATCCTGCTAATGAGTCAAATGATGAATGCAGCGATGCTTCTCAAGAACTAAACAACCATGTTTTGGTCGATGGCACTCTCTGTTCCAAATCTCCTTCTGATGAAATGGTGTCTGAGTCAGTCTCAGATAAATGTGTTTCTCCTTCTAGAACTAGTCACAGTGCACTACAAATGAAGAATGAATTAGTGACTGCTTCTCCTGCTGATAAATTAAATCCTTCCAAAAGTCAATCCATTTCTCTGAATGACACTTGTTTGAGTAGTCACCCATTAGATGTTCTGAAAGCTCAAACTTCGGTTCAGGAAACTGCTTGTTCAGATCCATGTTCAGCAGAAAACCTTGACAAGAAATTTCACTCATCCACTGCTATGAATTGTGATTCATCGGAACTTGACATGAATCCAGTGTTGGATTCTCAAATGGCAGACAATACTACGCCTTCTAAAGTGGTTCATATGAATGACGCTCTTGAAATTATTCCTTCAGGGAAATTATCAGGAGAGAATGTTACAAAGGGGAATAATGAAAATGTAGATGTCTCCATTTCTGCTCTCAATCATGCGAAGGACAGTTATTTGCAAGTAGGATCTGATGCCAATGGGGAAATTGGATGTGAGAATGATAAGGATTTACATTTGAACCCAGGAGTTGCTTCAAATGAAATGGATCTTGATGAAAGTGGCCTTAATGCTTCAGGTGATAGTTCCGAGACTATTCTGGTCTAACAGAATGATCAAGTCCTGTACTGCTCGTGATACTCTCTGAAGCTTTCTTCTCAGAGTTTCTTGCCTTGTATGCAACTCAATTTTCAAGGCTTTTGAAGCTTCTGTGTTGTGCTTTTGGTCCGGTATTATGAATAAGTTCCATTGATTCAGGGAAATATTGTTTGGTCCCTTGTCAATTTGAGTTAATTTTATAAGATTAAAAGTAGCTGACTTCATTTTATGTGAATGTTACTTCTGCCAAAAAGATTCAACTACATTTGGCACCGGATCTGGTGCCGTATGATCATTTAGCCGAATAGGTGAAGTCACTGGGAATTGGGAAGTAATGTGCATCGGTTCTTCCACAGAAGCAAATACTTCGCATTATATGATTGTGGTTCCTATTGTATATATCTGAATCTGCTTGAGTGGATAGGGCTTCTGCTCAATCCCTTTGTGCCACTCAACGTCCGTAGTAATTCATCAATCATCATATGACACAAGCAATTATACTTTGAGCTATTTTTTACTTTGATTTTTTTGGTTTTTTTTTCTTTCTTTTTTTACTTAGATTAGAAGCATGTGTCTCATCTGGCTTGATTGTATTTAATGAGTAATTGAGGGAATTTAGAAGTTATGTGTTTTTTATTCGAATCCGAGCTCCTTGTATTCAGCTTTTGGTCAATTTCTGCCGAAGTTCTTCAACATAGAATTTGGTTATATTGTGTGATTTGTGTGTGGGTTGCCAACACCACTAATGATGATTTCCTTAAAGAATAATTTTTAAAAACTCTCATTTAAAGTTGTTACTAGTGTGATAACCTGTGTCTTGACTTCACAATTTATATTATTTTAAAATCAACTTTGTAAAGGCCTAAGCAGAGGACTTGCAGAATCAACACTGCACAAATTGTATTAAGGTTAATTTTAGTTGAGTATTTTTCAATACATTCTTATATGATGACAAGAAAGTGGCAGTGAAGACGATTAATGATTTAAATCCAAAATTTTAGTTTCATTTTTTTTATTTGAGTTTTTTGTACACTTTGGTTATCTTTACTTCTTAAAAATGGTGTACTTAATCTTTCATTTACGGGTTAAATAAAATATTTATGATCATAAATTAACATTTTTTTTAAGAGTGATATCCGCTGATGAAATCATAATACTTAAATGGTCAAAAATATTAATCAATTGAATCTGTATGCAATGTTTATAGTTATTTTAATTAATTTAAGGCTCATTTAGAATTTAAGTACCCAATTTTAATTTGTGGTTTCAATTTAGTTCTTTAAGTTAAAAAAATTTCAGTTTAATTCTTTTTTTAACACTATACACTTAGATTTCTTAAAGTTTGTTAGTTAAAGTGTCATTTGAAGAACTAATTTGATTTAATAAAAGCACTTTAAGGAAATAAAGCGAAAATTTCAAATTTAGAACAAAAACACTTTAATTTAAACTAAAAAAATTGAAATAAGGAACTAAAAGTTTGCCTTAACATTAATTTAACTATACATTTTCATGAATTAAAAATTGTTTTATAGAAATATAATACATAATGTAGATATGTCAAATCGGTAGATTGACTAAGGTTGAATGCTTAAATAATTTATGATATTATTAACCTTATTTTATTTTGGATAATAACTTAAGTGATTATGTTGTATTTTAATTTTCAATTGTCTTCTTTAAAGACAAATCCTAAAATGTACGAGAAAGAAAAAAAAGTCACTTTACAATTTTGATCCTTTGATAACTTTTTAATAAAAATAATACTATATCTTAAATTAGGAACGTAAATGATTGATTTTAAATATAATCCTTGCCAAAGAACATCTCTCACATTTATTGTATCACCATTTGTTATATAAATCTTTATTTCATCGTTACATTTTTCATAATTCAATAAGGTTGTATCTAATATCGACATATTGTATAGTGTCAACGATCCAAACATTTTGGTTTTCATTCTATGAGAGTGAAAAATTATGTGATATTACCTTGTTGGGCAATTGCTACTTTAGATGAATTGTCTAATGCCTTTGATATTTGTTGTTGTTGAAAGAGGAACTTCAGTTTCCCATTTACTCTTAAGTAAAAGTTGTAATATTAGGCTTATCTTAAGTTGTACGATTGTAGTGTCAGCAAATTCATCTACATGGGTTGTAAGGTTGTTTTTCCTTTGACTTTGTGACTTTCAATCCTGAGATTTTTCATGGATATCCTAACAAGTTTATTTGGTGTGAAATGATTTCTTTTAATGTTCACACCATAGGCAGTGCTCTATTGGCCTTTGTGGTTGAGATTGTGTAGACGTAAGTATTGATCTTTGAGATTGTTCTTCTAGAAAGACATATCCAAATTCATTCAACATGACTTTCTTCTCACTCTCTTTTCCTCACACCTCAGAGAACACTTTACAAAGAGAAGGAACTATATTCATCCAAAGGATGCGTCCTCATACTTTATCCAAGACTTTATTGAGTCTTTGAAGAAAGTTGGATATGTGATCTTTCTCAAACATTTGATTATATAAAATTTCATCCTCAACACACTTCCATGAAATGTATAATGTATTCATCTTGTGCCACAAATCAATCAACTAATTTTAGTACTCTGTTATGATCATCGATCCTTGTCTTATGTTTCTTATAATGAAACAAAATTTAAAACAGTAAGATGTGTTCTCAAGATTGAAGTACATCTCTTGAACAACCTTCCAAATTTCATGGGCATTTTGTTAAAACATATATAAGTTTTCCCTATGAGACACTCCATTGAATTGATTAACCACACCATAACAATTAAGTTTTCGTATTTCTATGCCTTGTACCATGCATCACTTAGTTTTAAGGCAAGAATCTTGCCAATTAGTTATTCTACTTTTCCTTTCCTTTAAATGACTAACAAAACATATTGAAATCATTCACGAAAGTTTGATTGATTCGATTTGTGTTAGGTGATCTATAGTGAATAATTGATATCCGAGATGGATGAAGATTGGGTTGATTCAAACATTATGCCAAATGATAACGAGGCTCACAAGTTTTCACAAATTTTTACAAACTAAAAGCTTGTGATACCATGAGAACACTAAAGTGTTTGGAAAGAAATGCATGCTTTATTCGTTAACAAATTGAATACAAATATATACAATCTTTATGAGACAGTCTAAGAGCTATTTTAGAAAGAGAAAAGCTAGCAACACTCTTTAGTACATTTTTCTTAACACACACTCTTATTGGTTATAATTTATTAAAAACTACAAAATAGAAGCGAGAGTTATCAAATAGGATGTGAGACCCGCTAAATTTTATATTTTTCAACAAATATTAATTAATCTAAAAAAAATATAGAAAAAGTCAAGTATAAAAAAAAGGATAAAAAACTCCTAAAATTTAGGAGAGATTTGACTTGAATTAATATGCAAGTCACATCAACTCTTTCCTACATTGATTGTATGGAAAATTGAAAGATGGGAGAGATTTAACTCTTCTAAACTAGTCTTATCACTTTAGATAATAAAGTTAACATATCTTTATAGTTTAAATGTTTAATAACCCAAATTTAGGTATATTGAAATTTTGTAAAATAAAAAAAATTATGCAAAATACCCAACTAATAAATTTTTAGAAAAAATTAAAAAAAAATACCCACACATTAAAATGTTTTTTTTTTCTTATCATAACAATTAATAAGAATCCTTATAATAAAATAGACAACTTAAATTAATATACGACAAGCAAAACTATCACGTAAATGTTATTACCATTTGTCATTATCGTCATCATCACTACTATCACTATTATCATCATCGCATCTCCATTATTGTTATCATCATCAATGCCTTTCTCACCATCTCCATCCTTATGACCACTGTTATTATTGACGATGATGACAATAATAACAATAACAATGACGATAATAACAATAATTTTGATGGTTATGATGTTGGTGGTGGTGTGCAATTATGACAATAATGGTGACAATGGAAACGATGATAATGGTAGTGATAGTTATGATAATGATGATTGCGATGATGTTGATGATTAAAGATGAGAATAAGTCAGGTTAGACTTTGAATACAAGATCATACCTATTATATAAAATTAAAGTCTAAGCCCAATAAACTTTGTTTTAATTAATTCGACCTATTATTTATCATAAACTTTTATTATCTATCATCTACTTTTTTTATGAGCACCTTTTTAAAAGTTAGATTGACCTATTAACTTATTTAATTTTACATTAGTAACCTTAAATAAGTTAAAAAAAACTTAATTTTAAGTAAAACCAACAAAACTATTTTTAATTATGTGTGAGTTTTTTTTTTTTAATTTACGTAATAAAAAAATAATTTATTTTATTATTATTGTTAAAATTTAGAGTTTAAAATAAAAAATTAAAATAAGAGGGACAACTCATCCATACTCATGTATAATACACTCACGCACAAGATGAAAGAAGATAATGTTATATTTTTTTTCTAAATATTTCATATTATCTCATTTAGAACATTCTAAATAACTAACCATGAATGTGAAGAAAAATAATAGGCAAAAATGCGATTGTTAGAGTTTCTATTTTTGATTTCTTGATTTTGTATAGATAAAGAATGTAAAATATTTAAGTGTAGTGAAAATGTAAAAAAAAAAATATTGATAACTTTTTTTTATAGGACAAAACTTGGACACAATTCCTTAGTTGCAACCAGTGGTTTTTCCACTAGAATGAGAGTTTTATCTCAATAATATGCGCAAATATATATTAATAAGATTTGCATTAAATGCAATTACAAATAAAAATTTCATTCTAATTAAAAAATAATATCAACTATTTTTTTATTGTATATTTAGTTATTTAATTTTATTATTAATAAAATAATATGTATATTATTATTTTTATTATATCATATAGATAAACATATTAGTTTATCAAACCTAAAAATTATTTTATAAATCTAAACTTAAATTTTATAAATAAATATATTTTTAAAGTATAAATATGATATTTTTTTACTAAAGAGATTAGACTACAAATCTCTTATTTAATGTCTGGCTTATTCCAAACAATAATGATGATAATTTTTTTATAAAATGATAAAAAAAAAATATACAAATATTTTGCTTAATTGTTTTTAAGAATTTAGTTGTTAGGTATTTTATTTATTATTTAAAAAAAATCAATTTTTTTATAATATTTAAACCTAAAAATTATTAAATATTTTAATAAGTAAGTAATTACAATATAGATAAGTATGATATTGTATAAAGTGGCGGGAGAAAAGACAAAAATATTAAGATAGATCATTCACTTTAATGTCACAAAATATTTTTAAAAATAAAATAAAAAATAATAATGTGAAAGATTATTTAGAATTGGTCAATATTAATTACTAAAATTAATTTTTCTTAATAATTAAAGATATAATTATCCATAAATTATAGAAAAAAAATATCTCAAGAAGAAGTATTATCTTAATATAGATAATATAAATAAAAATTAAAATAAAAAATATAATAGTATAAATAATTATTTACGTCAATGATGATTCTTAAACTTATTTATTTATTTTCTTAATAATTAAAGATATAATCATCTATAAATTATAGAAATAAAGAATAATTACGATATAAAATATTATTTTTAACACGTGAACAAACTAAAATTTTGAATAGTTGAAGTAAGAAAAACTTGCCCGGTATTAACATGGACGTAGGAAAAAACTGTATAAACAGCCGCGAAAACCATTTTGATTTGGCCACGTCCATGATGCATGACGTGGCAGAATGAGAAGCGTTGGATTCAACAAAAAAAGAAAATTTGGAGGGAAAATAAAATAAGAAAAATATAAAGGGGGAAAACGCTGACACTGTTTTCTGTTTGTGTTTTTAACTTTTATTTAATATCGATTATCGATTTTAGATATTGGCTTACGCGCTGCATCTACAAATCGCAACCCAAAATCTCTCTCTCTCTCTGATTGGTTTCGTTAAATTTCTCTCCGTCTCACGTCGCTGCCGGATCACTTTGGGATTTTCGGCGGGCACTTGCGTCGCACTCGCATGACCCAATTATTGCGAGGGACGAATTCCTTGAATTTTCCGGCGAGGTAAGATTCCATTGAAATTTTGTTTTGGTCCGAAGGGGAGGGGGAAACTTTGCGTAATTACGGTCGATTTCTCTTCAGATCTGGGATTTAGGGTTTGGTTGCGGGTGATGTTAATTTTGGAGGAGGGGTTTTGGTAGATGGAATCGGGCGTGAGATCGAGTGGTTCTGGGGTTTTGGTGGAGAGCAGAAACTCCTCGGGTTGTTTAATTGTGCGAAAGAAAGGGGATGGGTTGGGTGCTACTGCTTCCACCTCTCGGAAGCTTTATGAATCGAAGAAAAGGGCCAACATTAACGTGTCCTTGAGTGATTCTGGGTCAAGCGACGAGTTGATGATGCCTCCCGGTAGAAGGGTTGGCCCGGAGACTATACGAGTTTGCAATGGTTTGGCTGCCTCTGAGCGTGGTAGTAGTGAAATTAGTCGCAAGAGGAATAGAGTGGAACTGATTAGGGGTAGTGGAGAAGGTATTGCTTCGGAGAGAGGTTTGGAGCAGAGGGATAGGAAGCTTACTAAATTGGATGTGTATGATTTTGACGAATATGATGGTATGGATATGGAAAACATGAGGAGGAGGCATTTGGATGGTAATGGAGTTGGTCATGGAGGAGGAAAGTTTATGGGATCAGTTCATGCTTCTAGAATTGGCGTTGATAGGGAATTCAAAACAGGGTCAAGTGGACGTGTTCTTGATAAGAGAAAGGACTCCCATTATGACAGGCCCAGTGGCTTGTATCCCGGGGATAATGTTGATCACAGTAGACTCAAGATGAACAGGGATATGGCTCGACTACCGCTACCATCACAGAGGGAGAAGCTTAATTCAGATGGGTCCATTAGGGTTCAAGGAAAAAATGGTGTTTTGAAGGTAATGGTTAATAAGAATAAGGTGGGTGTGTCATCAGAACACTATGATCATCGTAAACCTGTGGAAAGCAGGGAAAGCAGGCAAAGGTTGAAGAGTGAAGAGAATGCCACAAGATGGATGAGTGAAGAGAATGCCACAAGATGGATGAGTGAAGAGAATGCCTCAAGATGGAAGAGCGAAGAAAATGCCAAGAAGTTGAAGACCGAAGAGACTGCCAAGAAGAATGTTCCAATTTGTTCTTCATCGTACTTGGAAGCCAAACCTGTTGAGAAACCAAGATTACTTAAGAGGCTGGAGAAGAAACGGATAGCATCAAGAAAATCCTTGTCAAGCAAGGACAGTAAGGGTGATGAGGGGGATTCAGATAACAGTGACACATCATTGAATCTGGGAATAAAAAATACTGAAGCTCATAAGCCTGGGAAAAAAATAATCTCTGACGATGAGCAGACTCCAGGGCATGAAAAACTCCCCACCACAAAAGTTAAAGAAGGAAAAATCAAGCGTGGTAGTGGTACAGAAAAACAGAAGCTGCGAGAACGAATAAGGGAGATGCTGCTGAGTTCAGGTTGGACCATAGACTATCGACCTCGAAGGAACAGAGACTACCTGGATGCAGTTTACATCAATCCATCAGGTACAGCCTATTGGTCTATCATCAAGGCCTATGATGCACTTCAAAAGCAATTGAATGATGATGCTAATGAGGCCATGCGCAAAGGAGACAGTTCTTCTTTTGCTCCTATTGCAGATGAGGTGCTCAGTCAGCTAACAAGGAAAACTAGGAAGAAAATGGAGAAAGAATTGAAAAAGAAGAAGAAAAGATATGATAGTGAAAGTGATAATAAAAGAGAGCCGCAGTTAAGACGATCTTCCACCAACAAGCATGAAATGAATAGCACAGATAGTGATAGTGACAGGGAGAAGTTAAGCTCTTTTATAAAGCATGGAAGTAAGTCAATAAAAAATAAAATGTTTGAAAATACCACTATCAGTGCTCGCTCTAAAATTCCAAATGCTAACCATCACTCAAGTGACGGAATAGAAAAATCATCATTTGGATGTGATCCTTATATACATGGACGGAAAAGTAAAAAACATGGAAGATGTACTTTGTTAGTTCGCAGTTCTGACAAAGGATTAAATTCAGAAGCTGATGGCTTTGTCCCATATATGGGAAAACGGACAGTTCTTTCCTGGTTGATTGACTCTGGATCAGTAGAGTTAAGCCAAAAGGTTCAGTACCGCAGACGGAAGAAAGTCCTGCTGGAGGGGTGGATCACAAGAGATGGTATTCATTGTGGCTGCTGTAGTAAGATCCTCACAGTTTCAAAGTTTGAGCTTCATGCAGGAAGCAAATTGCCACAGCCTTATCAAAACATATATTTGGAATCTGGAGTTTCTCTTCTACAGTGCCAGATAGATGCATGGAATAGACAAGAGCATTCTGAAAAAATTGGTTTCCATTCTGTTGATATTGATGGAGATGATCCAAATGATGATACTTGTGGTATATGTGGAGATGGAGGGGATTTAATCTGTTGTGATGGTTGTCCGTCAACATTTCATCAGAGATGCTTGGATATACAGGTATGTGTGCATATTTTATTCTCCAAATGGCATGTTATGTTTTCATTTCTCAACATATTGTTAGTGTATATTTTGTTCTCTGTATTGCTTTGCATTTTCTCTTAATCTCTTATTGAACATTAGCATATTAAATTTATGTTTCCCTTTCAGATGCTGTTTCGTTTGTCTAATTTTTGTTTAGGGTGGTGGAAGTGGGACAGTAATATCTCATTGTTGGGAGTTTTTTGTTATGAAGTCAAGGGGAGTAGGGGACTGAAGATACTTTCTTGTTATTATGATATTGCCAAATGTTGTTAGGGGAATGCTGAAAATGGTATCACTAAACAAAACTTGTATCTACTAAGACTAGACAAAAATTGTGCCTACTGTCAATATTAAATTTATGATTATCTATCTTCTTTGATATATAGAACTATAGAAGGCATGTTGAATGGGTTTTCTCAGAGTAGAGTCCAGGGTTCCTGCACATAAAACTAGAATAATTTATTATTGACACTTTGATGGAAGTGTTATTGACTTGTTGCAATTTACTGTATTTTATTTTTGCAACATAATTGATTTATTAAGTATTTTAGGAGGATAGTTGTCTTTATGAGGAATTCATTTATGTTGTTGCAGATGCTTCCTCCCGGTGAATGGCATTGTCCGAATTGTACCTGTAAATTTTGTGGCATAGCCAGTGGAACTTCTGACAAAGATGAAGCAACTGTGTATGTCCTACGTACTTGCAACTTATGCGAGAAGAAATGTATTCACTTTCTCTTATTTATATTTGATGTTTCTTTAAAATGTTTACATTGTTTTGGCCCTTACGACCCTTTTGTTTTTTCTTTTTTTCTAACTTTGTTTTATAAATACTTTCTTTTTGCGTAGATCATGACTCTTGCACTAAGGAGATTGATACCCTTCCTGATAACTTTAATACATCAAGCCTTTCTTTTTGTGGGAAAGAATGCAAAGAGGTACCTCTTACAGTTTCTTCTGCTTTTTTCAATTTTATGAAGCATAACTTAAATGTATATGTATTTATTTAGCTATTTCTATTTTACAATTGAGCATGCTTGAATACCTTTTATACTTGTGCACTTGTGTATAGAATTTGTGTTTCCTTCAAGACTCTTAGAATTCTCTTTTTTAGGAATATCTGCATTTTAATAATTTTTTTAAAGTAATAGTTTTCCAGAGAAGAAAAATAGAAGCAAACATTTGTAGTGCTGCTTTGCTAAGACCAGATTCTGAACTATTATTATTATTATTATTTTTTTTGAATTATATTCTTTGTAACTTTACAGCTGTCTGAACACTTGAAGAAATACCTTGGTGCTAAGCATGAACTAGAAGCGGGTTTTTCTTGGTCTCTCATTCATAGAACAGATGATGACTCAGAAGCTGCTTGCAGGGGAATTACCCACAGGGTAGAATGCAATTCCAAGCTGGCTATTGCACTGACAGTGATGGATGAATGCTTTTTACCTGTTATTGATCGAAGGAGTGGGATCAATTTAATCCGTAATGTTTTATATAATTGTGGGTAAGCACTAGTAAGTCTTTATGAATTAACCATAATACCCTATAATTGATTCACGAGACCTCTCATTTAGATGAATGCCAATGTCTGATTCTGTAAGTTTTATAGTTTTCAGCATTTGTAAAATATTAAATTGATAAAAATGTCTTTTTCTTTTTTTGTTTTACCTTATAATGCTATCTGACTCAGTATATGATATTGACTGTTTGATAATTTAAGTCGGTAGAAAAGGAAATGACTAGTTTAGGCTTATTTGCACTTGCACATTTGCGCTCTTGGCCCCTCTAATTTGTACTATTGCAATTTTGGTCCCCCCAGTTTTTTTCATGCGAATTAACTCCTTTTATTTTTAAAATTAAGAAAACGCCTTCCTTTTTGTTGTTTTACCTTATACTGCTATCTGACTCAGTAAATGATGTTGACTGTTAGAAAACTTAAGTTGGTAGAAAATGAAATGATTAGTTTAGGCTTATTTACACTTTTGGTCCCTCTAATTTGTACTATGTGCAGTTTTGGTTCTTCAAGTTTTTTTCGTGCTAATTAACTCTATTTCTAAAGTTAAGCAAATTTGACCCCCTTGTCAATTTTCTTCTACACAAAACCATCAGATTTTTTTAATCCAAATTTTTGGGGTTTATGAGAGTTGAAATATGAAATAATCAAGTTTAGAAGAAAAAAATTTAGTAGAAACTAGAGAAAAATTGAATGATTTTATAAGATGTGAAATTAGGGGTTCGGAGAGGTGAATTTTTGAATTTTTTTAATTGTATTTTTTTGGTGAAATTTGTTGCTTTAGTTGATGATCATTTGGGATGCCGCTCCACTTTCTGATCAATTTTTAAAGATTGAGTAAAAAAGTGAGAATTTCAGTGGTTTAGGTATAAGAAAATCGACATGGAGGAGGAACCAAATTTGCTAAATTTAAAAATGGAGACTTAATTGGCTTAAAAAAACTGTAGGGAACTAACAATTAAGCTTTTAGTTTATAAGCATCATTTTAGTGTCTGGTTTGTTTGGGTTACTTCAAAATTTGAAATTTCTTTTAGAATGGTCCATGATTTACCGTGGCATTGTGCTCGAAGTACATTACATTCAAAAATTAAATTATCCTCCTTCTGCATTTTGATGTTTCCTGTGAGTCGAAGATTTCTAGCCTTGACAGTTTTTCTTATAAATATTTTGCTTTCTATTCATTTTCAGGTCAAACTTTAGTCGGTTGAGTTATAGTGGCTTTTACACAGCTATTTTGGAGAGAGGGGATGAAATTGTCGCAGCAGCATCTATCAGGTACTAAGCCTCAGACTTTGCCTTGCTGATTCATTTACTGACCTTTTCTTTTGAGGAGGGAAAAATGCAGAAACAGAAGAAGTTGGGAGAGTGAAAGGTGTTTCTGTTGCTATTTGATTGAAAGTTCACCTACTTACCAGTTGTACCTTTAGAGTTAGGGGAACTAAGGAAATAACTAAAAAAATAACTGACACTTGACAAGAGAAAAAAAATAATATCGTAGTTACCTAGAGAATTTGTTTTAATCACGTGCAGGAAATGGAATTCTTAATAATGTAATATGTATATCAGCCCTGGTTCAATTTCTTTAGAGAGAGCTTTGCCTTTTCATATGAGTAGTCTGTTGCGTTTACTAATATCTGTCATACACAAGTGTGACTACTTTAGAGAGGGCTTCTCCTTTCAATACACTAGTCTGTTAAATTGAGTTAGAAATAACCAAGTTGGCAATAACGAGGGGAAAGACTTCATGAGCTGGCAATGCCCTAATCCTGTCACCTTTATCAAAATAAGCCATATTACTTGTAATGAGGAACATGAGGGACATTAGGTAGCCATTTGCTCTGGTTCCTAACTTCCTTGAAAATAACATTCAGTTCTACTGATTTAGCTTAAAGGGATTGTTAAAGGCCATGACTATTTTCTTGCACTCTCTCATAGTTTGTTTATATGCTGCTCTGTGTATTTCTTGTTAATGTGAATAAATGGGAGTATTTATGTAAGTATTTACTTTCCCATCTTAGGTTCCATGGAACTATGATAGCAGAGATGCCATTCATTGGAACTCGCCATATATATAGGCGCCAAGGGATGTGCCGCCGGCTTTTTTCTGCCATTGAATCGGTAAACCTTGAAGCTATGGTTCTTTGTGCTTTCCTTGCAACTAAGATCTATCTAAAATTTTGGTTGGGCCTTTTTGTATGCATCTGTTAATGACTTTGACTTGTTCTTGTCTTATCTGTTTCTATCGGAAGGCCCTTTGCTCTCTGAAGGTTGAAAAGCTAGTTATTCCTGCAATTGCTGAACTCACACATACATGGACGACAATTTTTGGCTTCACACATCTAGACGAATCACTCAGACAAGAAATGAAGTCACTGAATATGATGGCCTTCCCTGGTATAGATATGCTACAGAAGGCTATAGTGGAACAAAGAAAACATGAGGGTGATACAACCACAGGTGTTGATGTTGTTTTTGTTTATTTTAAATTTTAGGAAGTTACTTTTTCCTGTACTTAAGTTTTACCTTTTATTTTTGTCCTGACAGGTTCTGAGAAAATGGAAAATGGAGGTAATGATTTGACCAAAACGGGAAATAGGTCTGATTTGGGTTCTTCAACTCCGCAAGATCCTCATGGAAGTGATGATGTTAGTTCAAATCCTACCAATGAGTCGAATGATGAATGTAGCTATGCTTCTCAAGAACTAAACAACCATGTTTTGGTCGATGGGACTCTCCGTTCCAAATCTTATTCTGAGGAAATGGTGTCTGATTCAGTTTCAGATAAATGTGTTTCTCCTTCTAGAACAAGTCATAGTGCAGTGCAAATGAAAAATGAAGAATTGACTGCTTCTCCTGTTGATAAATTAAATCCTTCTTCCAAAAGTCAATCCATTTCTCTGAATGGCACTTCTGTGAGTCGTCACCCATTAGATATTCGGAGAGCTCAAACTTTGGTTCAGGAAACTGCTTGTTCTGAACGGTGTCCCGCAGAAAACCTTGACAAGAAATGTCACTCATCCACTGCTATGAATTGTGATTCATTGGAGCTTGACATTAATCCAGTGTTGGATTCTGAAATGGCAGACAATACTACGCCTTCTAAAGAGGTTTATATGAATGACGCTCTTGAAACAGTTCCTTCAGGGAATTTATCTGGAGAGAATATTGCAAAGGGGAATAATGAAAATGTAGATGTCTCCGGTTCTGCTCTCAATCATGCTAATGAGAGTTATTTGCAACTAGGTTCTGATTCCAATGGTGAAATTGGATTTGAGAATGACAAGTATTTACATTTGTAACGCAGGAGTTGCTTCAAATGAAATGGATCTTGATGAAAGTGGCCTAAATGCTTCAGGTGATTGTTCCGAGACTGTTCTGGTCTAACAGAATGATCAAGTCATGTACTGCTCGTGATTCTCTCTGTAAGTTTATCAAGGTTTTTGAAGTTTCGGCGTTGTGCTTTGATCCGGTGTTATGAATAAGTTCTATTGATTGAGGGAAGTATTGTTTGGTCCCCTTGTCATTTATGAGTTAATTTTTTAAGGTTAAAAGTAGCTCACTTCAATTTTATGTGAATGTTACTTCTGCCAAAAAGATTCTACTGCATCTGGCACCAGACCTGTTGCCATATGATCATTTAGCTGAATGGGTGAAGTTATTGGAAAGTAATCTGCAACGGTCCTTCAAATTACTATAATATCCCTATTGCAGTTTAAGTAAACAAAAGTGATATATGAAGTTTTTATCCTAAAATTTTAATGTTGACTGTTAACTTATTTCAACTAATAAAAAATAAGTGTAAGTCGGTTAGGAATCACCTATAAACAAATATTATATTTAAATATATAAGTTATATTTTAAATTTGTATAAATAAATATTTTTAAACATAATTTATATTATAGCACAAAATTATTTTTAATTTTTGATAGTTTATTTGAAAATATTAGTTATAAATGATTATAATGAATAAAAATTAAATTAGATAAAAAATTAAAAAAAATCTTTATAAACTCTCTTGTTAAAAAAAGTATTTAGAAAATTTTTGTTCAAGATAATAATTTGTGTTTAACATACATTGGTTGATTTGCAAGAAATATTGGTGTTTTATGTATTGCTATTGAAGAAATTACTTAAATTGACTATTTTTTACCTCTTTTTGTTGACGAAAAGTTTTAAATTGTCATTAAATATGCTTTTTTTTAATCGTAATATAAAATTAATACTATAGTTTATACAATACATAATATAAATGATTGTTTTATATAACTAAAATTTATGATGAATAAATATTTTGATATATAAAATTATATCATAATTAAAGTTCATAATAAATAAATAAATAATTTTAAGAATATAAATTAGGTTTTAGATTTATAATAAATATTAATATTTGTGATATAAGATTATTTATATCCATGACTATTTTTTTAAAAATTTAAATTTAAATTTAAAATAAAAATGAAAATAATAGTTTGAATGATATAAGAGTTTGTTTGTTTTCCAAAAATACTCGTTAATTTTTTATTAAGAAATTTTTCTTAAAAAATTAATTTATGAAAATATTCTTGTTTAAAATAATTTATTTTTATATATAAAAGATGGATAACATAAACACATAGTTATTATGTTGTAGGTAAATATGTATTATGTTGTAGAATAAGATTATTAATTTTTTATAAGTTATTTTAAAATTATATTTATAATAATTTTTAAGTGAGTGGTAATATAAATTTTTACACTAATAATATATTAAAATCAAGTTTAAAACTCTAATTTAGTTTCTTATAATATTTGTTTGTTTCAATTTAGTCCCACTTTAATTTTTTATTTAAATTTGGTCCCCAATAATTTAAATTATTACAATTTAGGACTTCCGTCCAAATGATTTAGACGGAGTTAACAGTTGGCCTCGTGGATGTCACGTGGATGCACACGTGGATGCACACATGGAAGCACACGTGGATGCCAAATTTTTTTAATGCATCTGAAGCCAGAACGGTCTGTTCTGATTACACACTTGGTGTGTTAATTTTGCACCTGGAAACTCGATGATTATAATCAGTGACAGATCCAGAAATTTTAGATCGTGGGGGCAATACTTATTTATATATTTGTAATATTAAAAATTTTACATATAATTTTTAAAAGTATAAATATATATTATAGTTATTTTTTATAATTTTTTATATCTATAAGTACGATTAAAGATGAAAATAAACTTGGTCAGATTATGTTATATTATAATTTAACAGAATTAAACCTAATTTTTATTAAAAATAAATGTTATTAATATGATATATTTATCTGTCATAGACATTTTTTAAAATGTTTGGTTAGAACTACAATCTTAAAAACCTACTTAATAATAATTTAACACTAATAAAAACATAAAAATAAATATGTTAAATCTTATAAAAATCAAATTTAATTTATTTATCATATAAAGATGTTTTTGATATGTGATATAAATTTTTACAATTTTGATTTTTTTTATCAACATATACAATAAATAGAAAGCACAAAAGTTTGACAAATATGAGATAAATGAATAATTCTTCGAAATTTATATTCTATACATATGATAATTTAAATATATATATATATTAGAATATAATTTTTATTTTTTAAAATATATTACTTTTTAGATAAAAAAAATTATGTATGTGTAAATGGTTTGTCTTTGATCTTTGAACCACATTGTGTGTTGGTTGGCGTTCTGGAACGACTCATTCTGAACCTGAATGACCCGTTTTGGAAACCAGAACGGTCTGTTTCGATTTCAGAAGAGTCTGTTCTGATGCACTCGTTGGTGTTAAATAATGCATCCGGAACGCCTCGCTCCAGATGCAAAATTTATGCACCATGAGTGCAACCAGAACGGTCCGTTCCGGTTTTAGAACGGGCCGTTCTGGTTTTAGAACGGGTCGTTCTGGTTTCATATGCATGAAAAAAATTAAGCATTCACGTATGCATCCACGTTCGCATCCAAGTGGCGTTCACGTCACCAGGAGTTAACCCCATTTAAATCATTTGGAAGGAAGTCCCAAATTGCAATAATTTAAATTATTGGAGACCAAATTAAAATAAAAAATTAAAGTGAGACTAAATTGAAATAAAAAATATTATAAGAGACCAAATTAAATTTTTAACCTAAAATCAAAGAAAATAAAATTTGAGATACCAAGTAAAAGTATATATATATATATATATATATATATATTATATCAAGTATAATAAAAAATGTACTAAATATTATTTTTATGTATATATTTTTTTCATTATTAATAATATATCTATGCATAATAAATAAATTAATAAAAAAGATAGATATAAAAGTAATATTATATAAATTATTTTGTTTTGTTGTACGCATAATATTTTTGTTGTAGTATAAATATATTATTTCTAAAATTTGAGAATTAAATCCGAAAAGTTGGGAAGTATAGATAATTGTTTAGCGCACCCCGCAAGAGGAAAGTAGAAAAGAAAAAAGTCGTTGCACAACCCCATCCTAGTCATTGTTATTGTCTGTATTTGCATTCTCGAACCAAATAGATTTCAGATTCCTTTAAATCGGTTCATTCATTGATTCGTGTTCATTCTAAGGGTCATGTCTCCAATTATAACACGGTCTCTAAGGCTCGGTTAGCTACTGTGTGAGTGCGTGCACGCCAACTGTTTGTTCTTTTACTTCTGCGAGCAATTTTAGTTGGCATCTACTTGTTTTTCCTGCTTCACTTTTCAAAACTCTGGTAATGGTGTTCGTGCTCGCAAGAAAGGTTGTTTCTTTATACAGTCAACATTTTCTCCCCAGGACCTTCAATATGTGCTTCAAGTTCCTAACCACCATTCCCAACAAAGACATTGAGGCTGCAGCGAGTTCTGTATCCGTGCCACCTTCTGAATACTCTAGCAACCTCCATCTTTCCCCCTTTTTCTCTGACTTCCATAACCCCCCAACTGGATTTGATATCGAGCTTGTGGATCATGATGCTTGGGGGGTCTCATCTGAGGTGGCACAAGCCTGGCGAGGACCTGCATCAAAAGCTAGTTCTTTTGGTCCGCAAGTGACTGATGAAGCCCTTGATGACCATGTTGAGGGTGAATTTGATTTTGAAGACATAGATAACATGAGAGTTCGTGGCAATCTGTTCTATAAGCTTGAGCGCAGTTCCAAGGAGTTTGAAGAGTATAATTTTGATTTTCACGGGAAGAAATCTTCCAAGAAAAAAGAGGTAAACAAAGCTAAAACAACTCCAAATGAGACCTCCAAAGATCAAAAGCTTCCCAGAGTTGATGACTTGAAAATAAGTAAAAGTGTTGTGCCCCGGGTGGATGAAATCTTTGATGGGTCTCCTGTGAACAAGAGACAGAGGACTCCCACGTTTAACCAACTCACAGGTCCTTACCATGAACCGTTTTGCTTGGACATTTTCATATCAAAAGCCTCTGTTCGTGCTTGCGTTGTTCATAGGGTAACTAGCAGGGTTGTTGCTGTGGCACATTCCATTTCCAAGGACTTCAAGTTTGACCTGGCTTCTACCAAGAACAAAACCACTTGTGCTGCTGTGGGGGCAATTCTGGCTCAGAGAGCATTGGCTGATGATATTCATGACGTGATTTACACTCCAAGGAAAGGAGAAAGGTTGGAGGGTAAGCTTCAGATTGTTCTTCGGTCTATCATTGATAATGGGGTCAACGTAAAGGTAAAGATTAAGCAGAGACCCAAGAAATCTTTCAACCGCTTTTGACCTTAAGTGTGCTTGTTCACTTGCTATTATCTGTTGTCCATTGTTCGATGTTTATATATATGAGACGCATATAAGCTTACATTTTACACAAACGGAAGGGGTTGGGTCCTTTTATGCAAGACTCGAGGTTTGAATATGCCGTTGCTATTTTTCACAATACTTGATGTTAAGGGAAATTCCAGACAAATATAGCTTGCAGTTGTGCAAATTCGCAATATAGTTGCAGTGACTCCAACTGACTTCAAAAACCCTGATGTCGTGGCAGCAGATCTTTTTTAAAAACCTTGGAAACATTAGCCTAGGTAGGGTTTGAATCATTTGTCTACTGTGAACTTCTACTACCATTTTGGATTCCTCCTTTGTAATATGTGAATAAGGTTTAGTATTTCCAAATAAAATTGCATAATGATAATCACATATCCACTATCCACATTTGGTTCTTTAAGTTAGATAAACCATTAATCAGCATTGTTGGCACTTGGGGTCTATTCTAATTTGAATCAAATGTTCTATTTTCATGCATCAATAAAAATCTACACAATAAAACATAAGTATAGATAAGCCCAGAGCGACAACAACAATTATTAGAAACAAGCAAAGACTCAACCAAAACCAGCAGCAGCATGGTATTAACTTCATTCAAAACTCAAAAACAGACTAATCATTGGCTGTGGCTAACTGCAACGAAAGTAGTTCTTCCTCTGGGATGATCTTAATATGGCAATCAGATTTAGGGTAGGCAGCACACAAGAGTGCATAGCCACGCTCCACCACGTCATCGCTGAGCATTCCGTCGCTCTGATCAACAGATCCTCTGATGAGACGTGCAGGGCATGTCATGCAGACTCCAAGCTTGCAGTCATGAGGCACAGACAAGCCAGAGTCCAATGCCTTTGACAGTATGGTCTCGTCAGGTTCAACTTCCAGCTCAGTGGACCGCCCCTCGTGCTCAACCACCACTTTATACGACCTCACTCTCAGTGGCCGCATACCATGACGTGGCCGAGGGTTGAACTGAGAAGCAGTGAAGAGCTTGGTGGTGGGGTGCCTCTGTCTGAAAAGAGTGAAGGGTGTTGTTAACTGAAGGCTTGCCATGTTTGAGTTCCAAAGATAGTAGTGTTTCTGAGATGGGGCGAAGCGTGTGGTGGATGAAGGGATAAGACCTGTGGTTGTAAGAACCTTTTTTCACCCACCTTCGCTAGCTAGCACTAGCACCAAGAGATTATGTTGACCCAGTTTTTAATATTATTTTTTCATTAATCAAAATTATTATATAAATATTTAGAATGAAAATATTAAAGATTAAATTTCTTATTTATTTTGTATGGATAAAATTGATTTAATTAATGAAATGCATTCCTTCAAAAATTATGCAATGTTGTCAAGTTTAAAATATAATGATGATTTTATTTAGTGAAAAAAGACAATTATACAACAGCGATCGTTATTAATTAGAAAAATAATGTACAATTACTTAAAAAAAAAAGATTTTCTGTTTAAAATGACAAATAAGAGTAAATATAAAAATATTTTAAATAAATACATACAAATAAGTTAAAAGGTAAATAAATTTTAAAAAATCTATTTATATATAATATTGATCAGTATTTTTTTTGTTAAATGTATATTAGCAATTATTTCGCATCTTGTAATAATATTTTCTATGTAAAAAAAATAGTATTTTTAAATATATGTTAAATATAAAAATAATAAAAACTTAATTCAAATAAAATTTATAATAAAATATAAATTATACGTGAATGACACTACATCGTTTTCTTCTCAATATATAAACTGTCGAGTGACATGCGAATGTTGCTAGCTCCGCCGTTCGTACTTTGTAGTTCGTAGATCGCCGCTGTGCTTGTTTCATTGAGGTGATCTTTGTTTTTCTACAATCTTCCAATACATTAACTAAACTCTTGTCCGCTAATTATACATCAGAATTAGGGTATATTTGTCGCTAATCAATCTTAATCCGTCAGTATCAGTGGTTCAGTTCCTCATCTTCTTCTTTTTAATCTTATTTTCCTTTTTGCATGATGGTTTTCGGAGTTAAAACCGTGAACCTTGAACCAGCATGCAAATCCTCACTTTAGATTATTATTAATTTTTTATTGGTCATTATTAAATATAGTCAGAATGTCATTTTCACATTTTAGTTTTACGGTTCTTTATATATTTATTTGGTCACTGATATTTCACGCAAAAAACAGTAGATTCTCTCGTTTTTGTGATCCTTCTAATATTTCCGAGAAAGTTGATGCCAGGTAAATATTGAAATGCAGTATTTCTCTGTAGCCAAACAAGATTGAATTTTGATTAAAATTGAATTTTCTTCTTCTTGTTGGGCGTGTGTTATGATGAGTTTTGAATTTGCAAGGCAAAGTAAACCCCCCCCCCCCCCCCCCACCCCCC